CTCTCGCGCCTCGCCATCGCTGCGTCGATTCGCCATTTGCCCGCTTAGCCTTACTTCACCGACACCCTAGGTATAAATAACCTCTTTTTGCACATGTCCGCCGTAGCCAGCCAGCGTAACCCGATTAAGCGTCTCGTCCAAAGAGATACGGTCGTAGGTATGCGGATCTTTGCGTGCTCTGCGACCGTATCTGCTTTTGGATTGTCCACGTTTTTTGGAAAGCCCGTGGATGCGTAGATGGGTTAGTTTCTATGGTCCGCTCCAGTCCGAGAAGGAGTTTCGGCAACACCTCCCTGTTGTTCTCTGGATACACACTCTCCCTCGCAGGACGTGTATCGGGAGAACAGCGGGGAGGTGCTGCCGAAATTATGTCTCGAAGAGGAGCGGAGCATGGAAACTGACCTCATCTACGCATCCGCGGGTGGGATTACGACCTATCCTCACCTATTAGACAGTAGGAACACCACGTAGATGCAATTGATGGTCACAATACTCTATCTTTGTAAATGTTAAAGGATGGAGGACCGCCAATTGGATGTACACGGGCTGAAGAAGCGGGGAGTGACTACGACTATGAATGGGTGAAGGGGACGGATGGTTTCTTGAAACATGCATTTGGCCCGGGGCGGGGAGGACATTCTCTAGTTTGGTGTCCTGCAAAGAAATGTGACAACAGGAGAAAAGTAGACGAGAAGACCATAGGTAGACATCTTGTGTTCAATGGTTATACGCCTAGCTACCAGCAGTGGATCTACCATGGTGAAGCAGATCGTATAAGAGCGGAGATGGTGAGAGCACGCCTCGAGGCTTTTGATGATGATGTCGGGGGCGCGACACATGCTAGATGACGCCACCAAGCTCACTTCATTTGAACGACGTGAGAAGGAGGAGATGGAGGAATCCGCAAAGGACTTCTATAAAATGTTGGACTCGGCACGAAACCCCTTCATGAGCATACAATGATTTCTCGACTAGATGCGATTGGACGCGTAATGGGGTTGAAGGCCGAGTTAAACTTCGAGTCAAGAAGGCTTCGATAAGATGTTGGCCGTGTTTGGCACCATGCTACTGGAGAAGCACACTTTGCCGAAATTAACTTGTGCGAGCGTAGAAACTCCTTCAGTATGCTTAAGATGCCGTATGACAAGATACATGTTTGTCCGAAGGGTGCGTCCTATTTAGGAAAGAACACAAGGATGCAAATTCTTGTCTGAAGTGTAAATCCTCCGGTACACAGGAGGTAGACTCTGGTGATGGTCAGAAGAAGCGACTTAGATCCCCGCGAGAGTGCTATGTCACCTTCCTTTCCTACCGAGGATCCAACGGCTATTCATGACTGAGGAATCCGCGAAACATATGACATGGCACAAAGATGGCAAACGGTATAATCCTAGGAAGATGGTACATCCGTCTGATGCTGAAGCATGGACGTATTTCAATGACAAACATCGTGACAAAGCAGCTGAGGCTCGTAATGTACGTGTCCCACTGGCAACAGATGGGTTCAATCCTTATGGAATGATGGCTGCCCCATACACATGCTGGCCCATTTTTGTTATCCCCCTCAATCTCCCTCCCGGCATCTCCTTTCAACGGCATAACGTATTCTTGTCGTTGATAATTCCTGGACACCCGGGGAGTAATATGGGTGTGTTCATGGAGCCTATGATTGATGAATTGATCCACGCTTGGGAGAAGGGGGTATGGACATACGATCGAGCTACAAAGACAAGCTTCAAAATGCACGTTTGGTACCACTACTCCCTGCATGACTTCCTGGCGTATGGGTTATTCGTCGCCTGGTGTGTTCACGGGAAGTTCCCATGCCCAGTATGCAAGGAAGCCGTGAGGTTCATTTGGTTGAAGAAGGGTGGCAAGTATTCATCGTTCGACCAGCATCGTCAGTTCCTCCCTCTAAACCATGAATTTAGAGAAGACATCAAGAGCTTTACGAAAGGTGTCAAAGTGACAGACCCTAAACCGCACTTGAGGACTGGTGCCGAGGTTCGTGTTCAGATAGATGCTCTCGTGCCCAATGAAGAAGGTGGTTTTGTGGGATATGGTGAGGAACATATGTGGACTCATAAATCCGGCTTGACGAGGCTCCCCTATTTCGATGACCTTCTTCTGCCACATAACATTAATGTAATGCACACTGAAAATAATATCGCTGAGGCACTTTGGGAAACTCTCATGGACACTGACAAGTCTAAGGACAACGTTAAGGCTAGAGTGGACCTAGCGACGTTGTGACTTGTGCTTGGATTTCATTAACTTGTCGTAATAAACATGCGAATGATGATGAACATGTGACTTGTCGTTGTAATATATTGTGATTTGTGGTTCACAATTATGGTTGTGATATATTATGAGAAAATAGGTTCTGTGTGATATATATATATGTATATATATGAAATGCTTGTGTCGATGGAATGCAAAAAACAAAAAAAAATAAATTTCTGCCTCTTTGCCGAGGGCAATGACCAAGGCCCTCGGCAAAGAAGGGTCCTTTGCCGAGGGCCCAAGCAATAACCCTCGGCAAAGATTTTTTTGGAAAAAAATCCTAACAATTTCTTTGCCGAGGGCCAGGGAGCAGGCCCTCGGCAAAGGGTTAAAAAATTCAAAAAAACCATTTCTTTGCCGAGGGCCGGCCCTCGGCAAAGAATTTTTTAAAAATCGTGAAAATTTCTTTGCCGAAGGCCAGGGAGGAGGCCCTCGGCAAAGGTTTTTAAAAAAAAATAAAAAAAATTATTTGCCGAGGGTCGGCCCTCGGCAAACAAATTAAAAAAAACCATTTCTTTGTCGAGGGTCGGCCCTCGGCAAAGAAACCGCCAACGGCGCCGGCGCCTGACGGCTTCTTTTCTTTGCCGAGGGCCGTCCTGGCCCTCGGCAAAGGCTTTGCCGAGTGCCCGATAAAGGGCCCTCGGCAAAGACCCCTTCGCTATCTAAAAATTCACTGAGGGGTCTTTGCCAAGGGCAGCCCTCGGCAAAGCCTTTGCCGAGCGTTTCTGGGCCTTTGCCGAGGGCTAGAGGCCCTCGGCAAATCATGCGCCTCCAGTAGTGTGCGTGAAAGGCCGTGCAGCCGATCCGGGAAGCTTCCGTTGCCAGATTTAGGGCTTGTTTAAATCATGTAAAGTTTTTGGGTGTCATATCGAGTGTCACATGAGATGTCGCATCGAGTGTTTGGATACTAATAAAAAAACAAATTACAGAATCCGTCAGTAATACGCGAGACGAATTTATTAAGCCTAATTAATCCGTCATTATCACATGTGTTACTGTAGCACCGCATTGTCAAATCATGGACTAATTAGGCTTAAAAGATTCGTTTCGCAAATTAGTCGTAAACTGTGCAATTAGTTATTTTTTAGTCTATATTTAATACTCCATGTATATGTCAAACATTCCACAGAATAGGGAGTAAACTTTGAAAGGAAGAACTAAACAAGACCTTAGCAAAGATCAGGCACGCATCTCGCTCGGTCACCAACCGGTTGGTTGGAGGAGGAACGGAGGCTGTAGCAACTATAGTAGACTAGCTAGCGCGACTGTGCTGCACGAGGGCTGGGCTACTGGGACCAGCTTTGCCTAGCGTTTGGTTGGGAGTCAAGGTGGAGTGGGACGGTCCTGTCTCGACGGGACGGGGACGGGATGGCTCTATTTTCTGTTTGGTTGACGAGGGACGGGATCGACCCATTTTGTGTTTGATTCAGAGACATAAAAAGTGGGATGAGCTACCGACAAGTGGGACCCATTTGTAAGTTTTTTTCTTTTTTTTTATTTTTTTCCTTCTCTTCTCCTTATCTCTTCCTCTCTCTCTCTCTCTCTCCTTATCTCTTCCTCCCGACGCCCGCCCCGTGCCTCTTCCGTCCTCCGCCCTGAGCTCGGCCGCCCACCGCCATGGGCCTCCTCTGCCCCGAGCTCGGCAGCGAGCCACTGAGCGCTTCCTCCGCCGGCGAGCTCGTGTGGCGGCAGATCGGAGCAGAGCGGGGGCCGGCGCGGGCGCGTGCGGCGGCGGGCCGGAGCGAAGCTCGTACGATGGCAGGCTGGAGCGGAGCTCAGCCACGCCTGCGGGGGCAAAGAGGAGCTAGGGTCGGGGCGAGCTCGTGCGGCGGATCGATCTCGTCCACAGGTAGGTGCTATCCTTCCTCATCCGCGACGGCAACGGAGCACTCGCCCGCGACCCCGTCCGTGACCGGTGACCGACGCTCCTCCTCTTCTTTCTTCTTCGCAGCGAGCCGCTCATCCCACCTGGGTCGCCTCCGTCCGTGAAAATTTTGGGGACGGGGGTCATCCCGCATCTCACGGTATATTCGCACGAGGGACATCCTCACTCATGCTCGTCCCGCAACCAAACGTTGCTCATCTCAGGTCCGTCCCATCTCATGCCACCTTGTCCCTCCAACCAAACGCTACGTAGGAGTAGTAGTGCTCTACAGGCGCCTGCGGCATTGCAGCTTGGCGCTTTGCCGAGGCGGGGCACTGGGGCAGGCACCGCACTGGCACCGGCAGGCGGCAGGTGAGTGTGAGCGAGAGGTCAGAGATCTGCCGCGCAAGTACCGCTGCTTGCACCGCACCGGCCGATCTTGTTCCATCCCCTCACATAATAAACTCCCATCAACGCCCAGTGGCGTCACGTTGCGTTCCTCATTTACTCCTACCACACTTGCCAACTCCGCCTTGCGATAAGGGAACACACACACTCAGAGTCTACTTTGTGTACCACCTCTTCTCGCTCCTCTTCCCTATATATACACTTTCGTGGACTACACACTCTCCAGGAGCTTCAGCAGCCCAAGTGTGTCCTCCACTAGCTCGATCAGCAGCCACTGGCCGGTAGCTAGCTATCAGAGCCCCCCGGCCCGAAGCTGAAGCTAGCTACCAATGGCTGCGGCGACTCCTCCTGGTCGTCGTCCTAGCAGCAGCAGCTGCTGCATTTCACGGCGCAGATTCCTGGTCGTCGTCCTGGCCGCGCCGAGCTCACGTTCCCCGACCGCCCCATGTGGGTGTACGGCTCCATCTGGGACGCCTCCGACTGGGCCACCGACGACGGCCGCCACCGCGCCGACTACCGCTACCAGCCCTTCGTCGCGCGCCTCGACCGCTTCGTCGTCGCCGGGTGCTCCGTGAACGCGCCGCCGGCGTGCAGGCCCGTGCCGGCGTCGCCTGCCGGGGCTGGGCTCACGGCGCAGCAGTACGCGGCCATGCGGTGGGCGCAGCGGGAGCACATGGTTTACTACTATTGCAACGACTTCCGCAGGGACCACTCGCTCACGCCCGAGTGCTAGCTTAGTTAGCCGGCCCGGTTGCTGTTGCTGCGTGCCGCCGGTCGCTTGATTGTTGCTTTGTGTTTTGTTTCTTTGCTAGTACTACAGCGGTAGTGCTATGGTAAGGTGTGTGGCTGCCCTACCACCGCCGCGGCTCACTGCTTGTGATGAGGCGCCCGCGGAGCCCGGTGGTTGAGGCGTTGGTCGTTGGCGTATCGCCAACAAGGTGGTGTGTCGCCGTTCGTTTCTTCCCGTTGTTGCTGCTTTCCATTTGGTCTCGCGTGCATGCATCACATGCGATGCGATGCGAGGCGCCCCAAAGGGGCAAGCGTCCATGATTCATGGCATCATGCATGCCCACTGTAATTATATTTAATACATGTCTCCTGTCGGTGAGTTTATACTATGTGATTGTTGTAATGCAATTTTTACCTTACAATCGACTTGTTGTTGCTGTTGCTGGGGTCGGTGGTGGTTGTTTTTTTTTAGAAATAGAGTACAGACACTTTACATTGCTGGAGCTGTTGATTTTTTCAGGCTAGACTGCTGTCAACATCGCCGTGGGACCAGGGGAAAAACACAACAAGGCCTCGTTCACTTTGCAAAAAAAAAAAGAACCCGATGAATAGTATCACTTTCGTCTTATTTAACAAATATTATCTAATCTTGGACCAACTAGGCTTAAAAGATTCATCTCGTGATTTCCAACTAAACTGTGTAATTAGTTATTTTTTTTACCTACATTTAATACTCCATGCAAGCGGCTAAAAATTGATGTGACAGAGAGAAAATGAAAAAACTTGGAATTTGGATGGCATCTAAACAAGGCGCAAGGCTGCGTTTACGTGCAGACATTGACCATAGCAGTAGCAGTGTGTCCAGTGGGCCGGGCATGCCGCTTGCCGCGTGGCGAACGCCAGTGCGGCAGTGCCACTAACTGCAGGTCACTCGGGTAAATGCAGGGCCTCAAGGGCTGCCATGATACAACCATGACATCAGAAGAGAAGACAACTTTTTTTTGAGAATCACAAGAGAAGACAACTAAATACAGAAGAGTGACGACTGTACTTGAGCTCTTTGGGCTGAATAGGAGAATAGATGTCAGTGGGCTCTTACATCTCGGCTTTCATCGGGCCCAGGCCCGGTCCTGGCTGGGGTCGAGCAGTGCCCCCGCACTGGGCCCTCGGATCCTTGGGGCCCTCCCAGGAATCTAAAGGCAGCGTTGGTTTGGCTGTCAGGCACGTTGCCGGTTTAATTTGCGACACGTTCAACCTTGTGGCATTGTTTCACTTAATGCTCGAGTTGTAGCCTATACTTGTATAATCTCAGCTTCTATACATGTGCTTGTGCAACGTGACGTGATCCACGTGACTTTGTCAATAGACTATTAATTCCTACTTCCTCTGTCCCACATTATAAGACGTTTTGGCAATTCTATATTCATACATTTTACTATGTATTTAGACATAATATATCTAGGTGCATAGCAAAAATTATGAATCGAAAAAAAACTAAAATGTCTTATAATTTGAAACGGAGTACCTTTTATCGTTTACTCAATCTCACTATTTGTTACTTCGTCCATCCTAAAATAAGTACATACCCCATTAATCAAGGAGTCAAATATTTTTAAGTTTGATCAAATATATATACACAATAATACTAATATTTATTTTGTGCAATAAGCATTATTACATTAGTTGTGCATTATATATTTATAATAAACTATTTTAAGATACAAATATTGATATTATTTTATAGTTAAATTTAAAAGAGTTTGACTCTCTGAGAAGCATGATGTGTGTTTATTTTAAGACAGAATGAGAATATGTTAAATACCAAACTAAAACATCGTGATCAATCCCCTGCACGTACGGATTGGCGCACAAAATTACATAATCATTTTTTACCTGTAAATATTAAATTGTTTGATAATTTTAGATGTGTTTATTGGTAACATTTCATATGCATATTTTTCCCTTTATTTCAATTTTTAAGGGGCCTTCGTCTATGATTTCGCTCTAGGCCCTCAAACCCTCAGGACCGGCCCTGATCGGGCCGTTACACTTTTATCCCTAAACCGGTTAACCCACATAAAAGCCCAATCTACTACTAGATTGGATGCGCTATGCGTGTTTCACTGGGCCTGAACTGGACCTATACCTTTTCCATCTCAAGTGATTTGGGCTGAGAACCTTTTCCAAAATATAATTTGGAACGAAGGGGTAATATGTAAATCAATTGCTCCACCACAGAATCCAAATTGTTCGGTTGTTCCATGCAATCTAGATCCGACAGGCCTAAAACCTGCCTTCTTCCTCTCTCGCGCGCGCTCTGTCTCTGGCGCTGCGTCTTATGTATTTTCAACTCGCGTTAGACGTCGGTGAGCCAAAAAGAACTCAACGAAATGTTGCACTTGTGGTTTGCTGGTGTGCCTCGCGGTCTTGACTTGCTCAATAATGACGATTGATGCTTTCAGCTTTTGAACATTTTGGCGCCGATTTTCGGATTGCTTTTGGCACCAATTATTTTGGATTGATACGTGGTTTGATTAGCATATTAAATGAAATTAAATATTTTGCAAAACACGGCGCTCAGTCAAAGTCAAGACAGTTGTAAATAATTTCTATCGATCATTTGAAATTATAATTTTTTTTCAAACACATTTCGATGAATGTGTCATTACATACAGGAAGGAAAAAAACGCATGTTTGCCTTCTTTCAGCACCGCCTGTTTAGTTCATTATCGATACTATTCCAATAAACCTAAGTTTGACTTAGTCCAAATCTAAGGTTACATTTTTTTCAGGACAGAGAGAGTATGTAAAATGCACCGACCATGTATTTATTTTATGTTATATAAATTGTGTATGTTTATTGGATAGTATATATTTTCTTCATCCGTCGTTGTCCGTCGTAACTATAGGTAGGACTCTCATGCTGAGACGAATAAGAAAATTATTAATAAGGGGTGTGTTAGCTCAGATTAGACAAATCAGTTAATACAAGCCTAGTTCATTTAAGCTGGATTTGCCTTTTTGTGTTAATTAAATGTGGCTAAAAGAATTTAACTCAATTCCATTTACTTGTATAACTACCAATGTGTTATATGCAATTTTGTTTTTATCATGTTTATTAAGACACACGTCCAATAGTTTTTGGTTGTAGCGCGCATGGGCATCTTGGTTCATTATCTCGGTCTATCATTCCTAGTTACCACACCTCTCGTTTAGAGTGAATTTAATTATATGGGAGATAATAGCTATCCATGACTATGATTTGCGCCACGTGTAACGATTGACGGATGGATTTCATTTACTCTAGATGGTAAGCAACGGACGTGTCTAGGCCTGCTTGTTCTTTCTGGGAAAACTTGGACCACTGACATATGTATACAAGGCCGAGTGGTCCGAGACCTGTTGTTAGACAAGTAGCTTAAAACTGCGTCTTAGCATGATGTATTTTCAACTCGCGTTCAACGTCTGTGAGCTAAAAAAACTAAACTCGCGTTCAACGTCCCTTTCAGAATTTACCATGACAACGGTGAAATCAGATATGGGGACAGCGGGGTAGACCTTAGCGAGTTTTAGGTGTTTGACACAGAACTGAATTTACCGCTAGATTATAGCCGGAAACAAGTTTTAGCCTGGCTACATTAATACTTGGGTGTTCCGCCCTCCGAGCATTGTTTCAGGATTAGTATGTTGGTGCCTAAACTGCGGGAGAATGGATGGAGGTGGGAGCTGTATGAGGCCAGTAACACGAAGAAGTGGCATTTTCTCGTGTCCAAGGCATTGGAGCGTCGTTATTGCAACATCATGCTTGTTGAGTTCCTATAATTTTTTTTAAAATAATAGTATTTTAATTATTAATTGCAAATATAGCATTTGAATAAAAGGAATTGTAAGAGTAGTAGTCTGTCGGCCGCTGGAATGCCGATAGATGAGCTACGGCAACTGGAGAGCCGACAGATACCTATCGGCCGTCCAAGAGCCGACTAGTCTCTGCCCCACCCACAGTCTCGTCGGTCATCGGCTGACCGACAGGACTTGGACCCACAGGCTTATCGGCCGATGGAGGACCGATCAGGTCCTCTCGTTCCGCCGCTGGCGACAGGCCTAAAATATCTACGGTCATCTTCCTCTCTCTCTCGCGCACTCTCTCCCTCTACGGCATGCACAGCATTGATGGAAACAAAACAAAGAAATGTAGATGAAGAACTGAACCTCGTGTAAGTGTGATGTGTGAGTGGTGTAGATGCATGCGTGCGCCATGCTCTCCGTTAGTTCGTACGTGGTTCGTGGAGCAGAAGAAACCTTCCGTTGATGTAATCAGTTTTTTTTCTCGGGTCATTGTAAGAAGCTCTACTTTTTTTTCAATTTCAAAGAATTCAGAAAAAAAAAACTTCTTGTATGTAAACAAAATCATACCTGCGTGATCCAAGGCACATGTTAAACTCGGCACGTTGACAGCAAATACGTAAGTAACGATTTTCTTTCTCGAAACGTATATATAGGTGACAGATTCAGCGAACAAACTCGTTTTTTTTTAAAGGCAACAGCTCGGTTTGCTTGGGGAAAAAACGATAATGACTAGACCTGGGCGTCCGTCCGGACGGGCGGACCAACCTGCTCGCGCCGCTCGTTTACCTCGCGCAGCACAATTCGCGCCGCTCGGCCGCATCGAAAAATTGTAAACCGCGAGACGAATTTATTAAGTCTAATTAATCCGTCATTAACACATGTGTTACTGTTGCACTTTGTTGTCAAATTATGGACTAATTAGGTTTAAAAGATTGGTCTTGTAAAGTAGTCGCAATCTGTGTAATTAGTTATTTTTTAGTCTATATTTAATAATTCATGTATGCATGAAACATTCAATTAGATAGGGTGTAAATTTTTGGGAGGAACCGGAAGAGAAACTCCTGCAATGCCCTACGAGAGCGCATATGTTGTCAGCGGTGGATCAGTCATTCAGGCGTCACCATTTTAGATTTTCTTTCCCCGCTCGGTAACTTTCAG